TGAATCAAAAAATTATCATACTAGAAAAAAATTATAAGTGTTGACCTCGAAAAATGGCTTCGACACGTGGCCAACAGATAAAGTCTCCACGTAAGCTCTTCCCTGCTCACAGTAGCACACTATTAGTCACCCGTGGCCCTTTCCGGCGGGGGTGGAAGCGGCTACGAGCACTTCGACGGTCAATTTAGTGATTCGGTAAACGAAATATGTGATGTTCGGTGGTAAAAAGGGCCATCAGAATGTCACAATAAATATATGTGTAAAAATGCCTTGTTCCTTCCCAGAGTTCAAGGAATCAAGATTCAGAATCCTTTCCTTACCTTGGTGCATGAGTATTTATACTAAAGAATGAAGAGGAGAATCGTTGGATGTGGGGTCACGTGGCTTCAGATCCTAGACGGGTGATTTTCTCATAGGTGTCAATTTGTCAATCCGTAGGTTGGCGTGCATTAAATGTTTTTTGATATAGTAGCTGAGTTGACCGTCTGTAGCCTGCCAAACGTCTCATCAATCAGTCAGGAATTGACTTTAAATAGATTTTAAAAGATCTTGGTAGAGGCGTGGTGAGGCGAACTGTGAGGTGTAACGAATGCAAAGTGCGGGCCTTTGCATCCGCTGTGAATGGCGGATGAGTTCAACTCTTTTGCGAGGTGGGAAAGTAGTGTTTCAGTTCGAAATTATGGAGTCAGTTCGTCCGACATGAATTCAGTTCGTCCACCACGTGGCAAGGCCGATCAGCTCGGCTAACGCGTGGTGGATAAGGTGGACAGATTTAGCTCGTCCACCATGTGGCAAAGTAGATCAATTCGGTTTTCACATGACGGATGAGATGGATGGACATGATGGAGGGCCTCAGAAGGCCCGGAACAAGAGATGAATCATGCACGTGACATTCCATTTGCAACTGATGACGCTAAACCCTTACTTATAGGACACTTTAATATAGAAAATTTTGGGTCAAGCTAAAGAATGGACTTTAACAATTATATTAAAGAATTAACCTATTAGATTTTAGGGAAAAGTTTATACCTCA